TGTAACCCGAAGTTAATAAGTTAATAAAAAGTCCCCGGCCGTAGAGGTCACCTTAACACCAAAAAAAAAAAAAAAAATAAAAAAAATAAAAAAATAAAAACTCAATACAGCGCACATAAAATTCTGAGTTTACTTTAGATTTTCACATGTCTATTTTTAAATATTCACAACTATGAATATTTAATTATTTGACTTATTAAGTTAGTCTTAAATAAAAACTCAATACAGTGTATATATATATATCAAGTTTTTAAGTAATATTAACTAACTAAATATAGCTAAATTTATTAAAAATACTTGATTTGGTTAAGATATGGCTAGTTTTATAAACCAATTTGTATGTGTATATATTATATAAAAATTATATTATTAAAAGTTCTTTTTTTATTTATTTTAGTCATGTACATACAATATAAAAATTAATTATTGTACGTAGTATAGTAAAGTTATTAGCGAAGCAAAAAATAATCCAGTTAGACTAAAATGCAAAAATTATTTCTAAGCTAATATAAATATGGGAATGATCTGAAAAATCACTTGGTAATTACTTTATAATCTTACTAAATTATTTTTGCTAGTATGTCTTATATAATAATATACAAAAAATAACAAAAAAAAATTCATGATCATAAGAGTTTGCACGATAGTATGATCTCATTTGTACAAATTATACAAAAATCATAAGATGCTATAATGTATATAACATGAGATTTGATTGGCTAAAAATTAGGTAACTTGCATATAAAGAGAGATGTTAATATGGTCGGGCCATAAAATAGCTTGCACTTAGAGAATAAAGAACTTGCACTTATATTATAAGTCCCAACATGGGACCAGACTATTTAATTGCATTTAGAGAGAAGTTGCACTTAGAGGGGTTGCACTTAGAGGGAGTTGACTGTATTCAACAATGTCTACAAGCTTTTCTACATTAAGTTTTGTTTTTGAATTATTGATTAATGCCATGATTGTTACTTGTACAATATGAAATTCTTTTTTAAATCTTAATATTAAAAGATAATAAATATAATAATAATTAAGTGCCATCTAAAATAATCTAACTGAAATAAATAAGTTAAACTTAATTCAACATACCAGTGTAATTTTGCTAGAATAAGCAAGTTAAAACTTAATTTAATATACTAAGCAACTTGCTAAAATAAGCAAGTTGAATCTAATTCAACATATAAGTTAAGAAAGAAGACTCAAAATACCAAAATATCATGTATCAAGTAATCTACTAGAATAATCTAACTCAATATACCAAAATATTACGTACTAAGTAACCTGCAAGAATAACCTAACTCAACATATCAAAATAACTCAGCTAGAATAGACAGGTTGAATCTTCTTTTCTCTATTCTTTAATATCTCTAAACTCATTATGATCAATTCAAAATAATTTAAATCTTACATTATTTAATATTTTCTTAAGTTCAGAATTAACATAATCTGGTGAATAAAAGATTTTATATTTTGAACCAAATTCAAAATATATGCCAGTAAATAATGATACAACCTGCTAAATAAGCAAGTTAACTCTAATTTAAAATACTAGTATGATCCTATTGAAATAAGCAAGTTAAATTTAATTTTGCATATTAAGTAACTGCTATAACAATAACAAAATTTGAATCTAACTTAACATACCAGAATGTACCCAAGCAAACCAAAGCAACCTAGCTAAGATAAAAAAATTAAATATACCAAGTAACCCAGATAGATAAATTGACCCAATTTAATATACAAAAATGACTAACTGAAGTAATCAAATTGAACATAATTCAATATACCAAACTGACTCAGCTAATATATTGAATCTAAACAACAAAATTATCTGGTTAGAATATCAAATTCAGCAGACCAAAATGACCTAGTTGAACTAAAAAAGTTAAATATAAATCAACATATAAATATAACTTGGCTGTAATAGTAAATTCAAAAATATGTAAATTAATAAAATTCTGTTATTGTAATATTAATTTTTTTTGTATTTATAACTCAATCCAGAGATCAACTAGTTTTATTAGGTCTAATCTGATTCCACAATTCAGATTGGATGATAATCTGAATCTGCCAGATTCAGATTTTTGGACCACTACTTCAAACAAAACAAAATAAACTTCAAAATTCATTTTCTGATATATGTATTGATAGTATTTAAAGACTTAAAAATTTATCAAAATAAACTAAATATTATAAATTTATTTATTATTTTATTTTTTCTATACATATTGAATAGTATTCAATCTGTCCATTAAAATTATAACAAAACAAAATAAACTTCTAATTAGTTTTGGCATCACTTTTTATTTTGATATGTATATTGAAATACTAATATTTGTATTAAAAGTCTAAAATATTAAGCTTAATAAAACTAAATATAAATAGGTTGTATTGGTGTTGTAAAATTGTTATTTCTTTTTTACAATATTGCTACTTTTTCTTTTAACAAACTTCTTTATATCTTTCTTAATATTGTGTTTTGCTTCTTTTTTAATCTTGATATTTTCATTATAACTTACAAAAAAATAAAGCAATTGTTAAAAAAACCAATTTTTTAAAAACAAAAAAGTATATACACACAAAAGTGCCATGTTTCTGTAGTGATTGTAATAGTATAGAAAGAGATTCTAGAATTAAAGCAGAACATAAAGAATGAGAAAAAAACCTTTTATATCAAATAAAAAACATATTATATCAAACCACCAAGTTGGGTATCTTTTAGAAGATACTTCTAATAATGAAAGGTTCTCAAATAAGATAAACAAAGTTGTTTTAATGGATCAGAATATTAATTCAACAAATAGTAAAAAATAAGATGCTAAAACAGATAGTAATACATATAATTTAATATCTCTGTCACAGCCTAAAAATCACTAGTTTCTTGTTAAACAGCTTCTCAAATATTTTCATTATCTAAAACCATCTTCTTTTTATCCTAGTAAAAGCTTGTTCTCTTCTAATGATGAAAGTAAAAATAATAATATGAGAATTAATGAAACTGATAAAACTAAAGAAGAGAGTGAAGAAGAGATTTTGATGCATCTAATATAGATAATAAATATTTTTATTTCTATATCTTTTTTCTTACAGTTTTTTAATATATAATTAGAATATCATTAATCAAAACATATTATTCCTTAAACTGTAGACAATTCCAGACAAATTTGCCTGGAAAATTGCTATAAATTTGTTTATAATTTACTTTTTTTAAA